CAACGGGTGCTTCCACATTATCCTTCCTTGTAGGAACAACTCTTGGGGCAATTAAATCCCGAAGAAGTGTGTCCTCATCAACTGACTCCACCGGATTGGAGCTCGAGCTCTCGCCAACATCACCCCTTGTTGACCTAGGGCCAACTTTCCTGGGTTCCTCATGCCGTGACATCGTTCTATAAAACAAAGAAAACAATTCAATAACGATAACACTAAGGTCCAACCGTGAACAACTCAACATAAAAGGATGTTATACTAACACTTAGCATGCAAGACTATGCAATGAACACATTAATATAAGCATATAAGCACATAAGCATATAAACAAGCAAACAGTTAAGCATGATTTTGCACATAACAAAACACTTTAACAATTAATCACTTAAACTATGCAAATGACTTCCCATGCAACCCCTATGTAGGCCTCTACCCGTCATCCTAATGGTTTTCGAACCAAGGCTCTGATACCAAATTTGTAACGACCCTAACTGATGCCACAATTTTTAAAAAATTTCGGCATGACCTCCACTAAAAATCGTCCTACAACAACCTATTTAAAAGCATTTTTAACATATCCCAACACAATAAACATCTAATACATTCTATGGTGGTACAACCACATACTATATCATCCAAGTATCATAATTATAGTCCCAAAATACAAAATTAAGATCAAATGTCTGTGCTTTACTAGCCCATATGTATAATTATAATATTCAAAGTCCATAAGTCATTGTACAAAGTACATTATGCTTAGTCTTACAAAAATAGAGTGACACAAGTACAAAAACAACAAAATAAGCTCCTAATCCATACTAAGTCTGTGGTAGAATGTCATCCGCCACTTCTTTCCTGTTTCCTGTAATAAAAAAAAATGTTAAGTAAAAGGGTTGAGCAAAATTGCTCAGTAGGTGGTGCCTAAGACACACCTCTTGTGTCCCCGTGAATTCAAACAAGGAATAGGACAATAGGAATTTGGGGTCATGCAAAGCCGGGAAAACACAATATCAATTCTAAGTTCAAAGCAAATAAATCTCGTGCTATGAATGCAATGTTATGCATGTCACTCCCCATTTTCAGAAAAATATCATTACTTCACAAACTGTTAATATAACCCGCCCTTTGGTGACTCCGTAGCGACACGAAAGAAGGATTGGCTACTGTCACTGACCTTTGGTACCTCCGCAGCGTCATTTGGGGCCCAAATAGCTCAACCACGTTAGGGCAATCTCCCTAATTCCCTCTAGGCTATATTAACACACCGGTCCTTTGGTGACTCCGCGGCGACCGGATTTTTCTCAAAAAATCATTTTATCAAATTCTCCCCAAAATCCCCTTTTAACTCAATTTCAAAACACTTTCCCTTTTCTTTCATGCCCAATGCTTATGTGCATATATGGAACTGGAGAGAATTTTTAACACATAATTAACATGCTTTCACATAAAATTTCTAACAAATTCTTAAGCATTATTGGCATGGAATTATTATTATTATTTTTTTTTTCATACAATTCACTTAACTACACATTATAATTCAATTAAATACACATTCTCACATATTTCATATATACAATCAAGGTACTTTAAGGAACAATTATTACGATTTAGTATGTTAGAATACTAATAAGATACTAATCAAGAAAAATTAATTCACAAAGGAACAATCATCACAATTTAGCATGCTAGGACCCTAATCAAGAACAATTAATTCACAAAGGAACAAGATTGTAGGAGTTAGAGACCCATATTTTTATTTTATGCAAAACTCTCAATTTGCACGATAAACTTTCAAAATGGGTCAAGATTTTTGGACTCCCTAAGTTGCTCAAAACTGAAATTATTGGTATACACGTGTAGAGCTCGCCGTGCTCTTCGTTTTGCCGCAAACGGCACTTAAAAATACTAAGAAATGAAAGAGCAATCAAATGTTGAAGTTTGTAAAAGAAAAAGGAAGAAAAAGAAGCAGCACGAGAGAGAGAAGACTGGCCGAGAGAGACTGAGATATGCTGAAGTATAAAGTCATTATATGTGTTTTAATATCATGTGGGTCCCACCACTAATATACATATATATATATATATATATATATATATATATATATAAATCACTTAAACATTACATGGCCCATATTTTTATTTCGTCCAATTCGTTATCTTCTTTTATTCTATGGATTAAAGTTCTCTTTTCCTTTTTGTCTTATTTCTTTTATATTAAATATCAGTTCTAAAGAAAAATCCTTTGATTGGTTGTGTTGCCCTCCTAGCAGGTTGTGGTGAAAGAGAAAAGACTAAATCCTACTGCAACATAAGTAGTGCTGGCTTCGTCTGAATCTTGATGAACTCCGAAGTTAAGGTTCAAGGGATGATGGAACCTCCAAAACCCAAAAGACAAGGTAATTAAGAAGCACAAAAGTCAGAGAAAATGAATTTAGAGCATTTCGTTTATAATCCAAAAAACGTGTTATTGAAATAACATGTCATATAGTGATGGTAGCTGGAGTTGGAACGGGGGTTGAATAACAAAATTGCATTGTACAAATTGGATACCTACTTTTAAATGATAGATTTTTCTTTCCAAGTTGGGTGGCTTCATTTCTTTCAAGCTGGATTTTTGATCAAATCTCAATATATATATATATAGATATATATATATATATATGGGACAGTTGTAATGGTTTGGACTTGGATGAATCCAATTTGAGATGGTAGATGATTCCTATTGAATTTAAGCTCCATTAAACTCTCATATTTTACTTGTATGCAAGGAGAAGTTGACCATGAGGGCATTCTATTTCCAACGCAAGAGTGTTCTTTAGATTGGAAGACACTAATTTCACTCTAAATTTAATGATTTGAGACTTTTGAGTCACATAATCCACGCTATTAGGCAAGAGCTTTGACTCTATGAGGTTGAGTGACTGTCAAGACAATTTTTTTTTTTTGGGTGGGTTTGACTAATGCCTAAATCTTGTTTTGTTACGAAATGCTCTTCTTTATGTTATTATTATTATTATATCCTGAAAAATAATTGATTTGACCTATGAGGCGTCTGAATCACGAATACATGAATTTTGTATTTAAATCCGACGGTCCACAAGTATCAAGTGTGCAATGAGACTTGCGGACTGTACATGCAATACAGTACATGATCCAGTTTTTGAAAATAGATGGTGGTGCAAGAGGAATAAATTGATGCTGTCCAACTACGAGCATCATCTTTTACTTGCCTGATTTGTGCATATGATTAAGGCTCCCTTTAGTTTTGTTTATTTTTTATTGTTTAATTGTCATAAAATATTTAGAAAAAATATCTATTAAAATTTAATAAAAATAATTTATTCATTAATTTTTGGTTAATTATTTTACATACACAGGTCGATGGACTCGATCTCAACTTCAATATCGACCTTTGTCAAATACCGATAAAATAAAAATAAAATAATATTTTACCGAACTTTGTCAAATACCGATAAAATAAAAATAAAATAATATTTTACCTGAAAAAGAAAAATATTTTTTAAAAAGAATATTTTACGTTTGTTTAGCCTTAGGTTTTATTGTTAAATAAGTTAAGAAAAATGATAAAAGTCCCGATTAATTTTTATTATCAATAGATACGCCAGTTGTTGAATTAAATACTTCTAAAATAAAAAAAATTATTTTATTAATTACTGTATAGGAGTCAAACTATTTATTGGAGTTTGGTAAAAAAAAATCGATTAGCGGATGATAGAATTACTCATAAATTAAGAAATTCCCATATATATATATATATATATGTGTGTGTGTGTGTGTGAAGTCGTATGACTAATTTACTTTCGGAACCAATTGACTTTGCAGAGATTAATGTTATAAGGGCTTTTACCGCGTTAGATTTGGATGAAAAAGTAATTGGGTATACGTAGGTTGAATGTTAATATCACCTAATAACTTAAGAGTGCGTTTACATGGAAGGAAAGAAAAAAAATGATAGGTGTTAAGTCTATTTGGATAATTTAAAATGAGAGAAAAGAAATGATAGAAAGATATCGTGAGGGATAGCATATCCCTCATTTTCTCTCTCTTACAAAATGAGAAGATAGGGAGAGAAATGACAGCGTTTAATTAATATTTTTATAATTTCAAAAGTGCCCTCAATAATTAAAAAGAAAAAAATAGTATTCCACTCATATCCCTTCTATTTAAAAGGATAAGATAATAATTTAGTTAGTATCATTTCTTTCTTCTTTTTTCTATATCATATACAAACAAAAATACTATCATTTCTTTTATTTTTTCTTCTATTTATCCAAACGAAATTATTGATATCATTTCTTTTTTCTAATAACTAATAATATCTTCTTCTTTTTTTTCTTTTCCTTTTTTTCTATATATCCAGACAAAGTCTAAGTTTTTAGTAGGATCATGAAACACTCTGTTATTACAATTTGTATCAGCATTAAAAATATATATATATTTATGCGAAGCACTGGTCTTTACAATTGCGCTGGAATCCCGAGATCATGTAATCATTTATGACATTGTTTTTTACAAAATTTGTGTTTAGCTTTAAATAATGTAACATTTCTATCAATGTACAACCCTAAAAAAAAAAGGGAAGCCTCAAAAAGACGCATCAAAGTTTCAGACTGTGACTTTTGTCACGTATAGGATTTGAATTCTATTCAAACGAAAGAAAAACTACCAAAAATGACGAGGCAAAAGAAATAATGGAGTCAAATATACTGTAATATGTTACTACTAAACCTATATATTTCTGTGTTCTAAATGGCTACAGAGAAACCTCTCTCGCTCTTCCATCGCTGTCTAAATTTCGTCAATGGTGATACATTGCCTTCTTGGGACTATTCTCACTAGCGTTACGTAAGTACTTACACATGCAAACATCAGATTTTGATTTTATTTTATGGGTTTGTTTTCTTCATTTTAGTCAATGCCCATTCTGGGTTTTCAATTTCAATCCATTTTCTCTTCCCTCTCTCTCCTTGTATCCAAAGCTCACCCACTGTATATATTTTTAATATATGATTTCATTTCAGATTTTCTTTTTTGATTGTGATCATGAAAATCTTTGTGCATGTCTGAACAATTTTCCTTTGGGTTTTTCTAATCTCATATTTTTAAAGCGTAAAAGAAGTTTGTGTGTAATTTAATTGTCATTTCTATTTTGTTGGCAAATGGGTTTTTTCAGTTTCTATCTTGGACTTTTCAAGTTCACCTGAATTTGTACATATTTTTGAATCCCAATATGTTTAGACTATTTTCTAAATTTTCTTGCTTTTTGAATCCCAATAAAATTTAAGTTGAGAAGTGCTCTTGTTTTTTTTTTTTTTGTTTTTTTAATCAATGGCAGCTCTAAAGTGTCTTGCTTCTTGCAATGAATACTATCAGTGTGCTGTTAAATTTTCTGATTTTAGAGTAAAGAAGTTTGGTATGAGAAGCTATAAAATAAAGTGTGAAGAAAGGGGTTGTTTGGATTTAGATGAAGAGAAGGGTGCAAGGAAGAAGCCTCGGATTTTGATTGCCGGAGGAGGTATTGGGGGGCTAGTTCTGGCTCTGGCAGCAAAGCACAGAGGTTTTGAAGTGAAGGTGTTTGAGAAGGATTTGAGTGCGGTGAGGGGTGAGGGTCAGCACCGCGGCCCAATTCAGCTTTCGAGTAATGCTTTAGCAGTTTTGGAAGCCATTGATAAGGATGTCATGAAGCAAATTTTGAAAGCAGGTTTTGCTAGCGGTAATAGGACCAATGGCTTTGCTGACGGATTATCTGGGAAATGGTATGCTATCAAGTAGTGTGTTCTTTACTGTTATAGATGCTACATGTTTATGCACCACAAAGATTGGTTGTCAATTGTTTATAACTCGCATAAATAATAAAAAATGGATTCATGTTACAGGACATAATTTCCATTTGAGCTCTTCTCTAAACATCTGTGGGCTCCTTTCCCTCTCTCCAGGTTTTTAAAGTTTGATTTTACGGCTCCTGCTGTAAGGAGGGGACTTCCTATTACTCACTTTATATGTAGAATGGAATTGCAAGACATCCTAGTAAACGCAGTTGGGCATCACATACTAAGTAACAAATCAAAAGTTGTGGACTTTGTGGAAGACTATAACAAGGTTTGAAATGCCCTAATATATGACTCTCCAGACTCTCTGATTTAATTGAGTTCTGTATTGAGCTCTAAACTCTCTGCATATATTATAGGTCACCGTGATCCTTGAAAATGGGATGCAGTATGAAGGTGATATTTTGGTTGGTGCAGATGGGATACGGTCAGAAGTACGTCACATTTCCTTACTCCTCTCCAGAAATACTTTTGATGAGCCAATTCTTTTTCTCTCCCTCAATTAACTTTTACATTTTTATCACCTTCATTCTAGGTGCGTTCAAAACTATTTGGGGCCCAAGAAGCAAAATATTCAGACTATACATGCTATACTGGACTAACAAACATTGTGCCACCATGTATTGATTCTATTGGGTATGTAATTATTGATTCAAGATTTAACTTTGAGTTCGAGAAAGTGATACAACAACTTTTTATCTTTTTTTGGCTCTCTTTGGTTGTTCATTAGGGATGGGGGGAGATATATTTATCAAGCACAAGTTTTCACCCTTCAATAATTCTCAATCTCCATGATTTTAGAAGTAGCTCTACAGTTACTTTGTGATTAAAATAAATACATGTATTTGAAATTTTTCTACAATTTTAGACTACAAAAAGTATATCTATGTTTGTAGGCATTGATATTTATTATAGTTTTTTGCATTAATAGAATAGTGCATCCATAGATAGAAGCATCCCATAATTACGAGATTTGCTTATTTAGGCTTTCTGCTGTTCAGGTATCAAGTATTCTTGGGAATGAACCGGTACTTTGCTGTTGCAGATGTTGGAAATGGGAAGATGCAATGGTATGCATTCGTTAAGGAGTCCCCCTCGACTACTGATCCTCCAGGAGGCAACTCTCTGACTCTCTTAATTCAAGTTTGTGATAAATGCCTAGCTAAAAGATTTAATCTGAATTTTGTACTTTAATGCTGCAGGCGAAAAGGAGAGGCTTTTGAAACTGTTTTGCGGCTGGTGCAATGAAGTGGTTATGCTAATTTCTGAAACACCAGGGCATCTGATTTTACGGAGAAACATCTATGATATCGACATGATATACTCCTGGGGAAATGGACGTGTGACTCTGGTAGGTGATGCTGCTCACGCAATGCAGCCAAATCTTGGCCAAGGGGGTTGTATGGCAATTGAGGTATGTTATAAGTGATTTAAGTTTTGTAGTAAATTAAGACTACAAGATTCATTTGAAAAGCACATTCATATATGATCCATCTGTTTCTGACGATGCAACAAATGTGTTTCAGAAAACAAATTGGAGCGATTTCCTTTCCATGTGTATCGCAAACAACTCTTTAAATGTTACTCCGTATATTTATTCTTAAAGAAATGTTAGAGATCTCCATGTGGGATGATGATTTAAGAATTCTAGAGCTTACAAATTATATTCTAAGAATATGATTATGCATTGGGAAAAGGTGGTTAAAGATAGTTTTACTAGATACTGCTACCATAGATAGGCTCATTCATTTGGAAATCACTTGCAGGATTGTTACCAACTTATACTTGAGCTTGATAAGGTTGTCAAAAGTGGCTCTGATCATTTCTTGTTGAATCAAATTGTCTCAGCACTTAAAAGGTAATTCGTGGATGTGTGCTCGGATGTGAGTAGTCATGTCCAAACGTTGGCGATGCCACTCTAGTTACCAAAAATGTCATTTTACTTTCTGTAAGTGTTTTTTTTTTTTTTTTTTGAAAGTTAAAGTGAACACACACACCCATTCATTATGCTCAACATGTCCCTTCTGTAAGTAGTCATTCCTTTTTATTATTTGGCTTTTAAGCAAACTATTTGGTGGATATTGTTGAGATGCTTCAGTGTTCCTAACTCGTGTAGATTAACGTAAGCAGATATGAGAAGAAAAGAATGCTCCGTGTTAGCATAGTTCATGCAGTGAACCGAATGGCGTCGAGAATGGTTTTCTTTTACCAACCTTATATGGAATTTGGATTTGGCCTGGTGAATGTACGTTTCCTATCCCCTGTTTGATCTCTCGAATGCTTCTCTTTCTTTGAGTTGCTAATGGATTTTTCTTGTATGTTGCAGAATCTGGCTTTACCACATCCTGCATTTCATGTTGTAATTGCATTTTTGCAAATCAGCTTGCCCCAATTCATGTCTTGGACTCTAACAGGCCATTGGTAAGAAAAAAAATCGTTCCAACCCTCCTCTAACGTGTCGAATGCCACAGATAGTTTTTGGAAACTCTCCACATTTTCCAGAATCATTATTTTTTTCTTTTTTCCGCTTAGATAATGTAACGACCCTCATTCTGGCCAGACACAATATTGTCTGCTTTTGGCTCACCCAGACCAGAGACTTCCCAGGGGGTCACCCATCCTACTTTTGGCTCACCCAGACCAGAGACTTCCCAGGGGGTCACCCATCCTGGTACTACTCTAAGTTAAGCACGCTTAATTACAGAGTTCTGATGGGTTCACGGCCATCACGGCTTTAAAACGCGTTGTGTCATAGAAGGGTGTTGTTCCCAGGGGGTCACCCATCCTACTTTTGGCTCACCCAGACCAGAGACTTCCCAGGGGGTCACCCATCCTGGTACTACTCTAAGTTAAGCACGCTTAACTACAGAGTTCTGATGGGTTCACGGCCATCAAGGCTTTAAAACGCGTTGTGTCATAGAAGGGTGTTGAATCTACATATAACACTTGCCCCATCCACACCCAGACGATGTGGGATTGTGCACCTGTAACTCGCCCAGTGTGGTAGCCTACTGGTGCCCCCTGCACACGCTCACACACACCCGCCCACAAGGTCGCCACAATCACCCCCCTTTGGGGCCCAACGTCCTCGTTGGCCACACTTCCGGCTGGGTCAGGCTCTGATACCATTTGTAACGACCCTCACCCTGGCCAGACACAATATTGTCCGCTTTTGGCTCACCCAGACCAGAGACTTCCCAGGGGGTCACCCATCCTGGTACTACTCCAAGTTAACAGAGTTCTGATGGGTTCACGGCCATCACGGCTTTAAAACGCGTTGTGTCATAGAAGGGTGTTGAATTTACATATAACACTTGCCCCATCCACACCCAGACGATGTGGGATTGTGCACCTGTAGCTCGCCCAGTGTAGTAGCCTACTGGTGCCCCCTGCACACGCTCACACACACCCGCCCACAAGGTTGCCACAATCACCCCCCCCCCCCCTTTGGGGCCCAACGTCCTCGTTGGCCACACTTCCAACTAGGTCAGGCTCTGATACCATTTGTAACGATTCTCACCCTGGCCAGACACAATATTGTCCGCTTTTGGCTCACCCAGACCAGAGACTTCCCAGGGGGTCACCCATCCTGGTACTACTCCAAGTTAAGCACGCTTAACTACAGAGTTCTGATGGGTTCACGGCCATCACGACTTTAAAACGCGTTGTGTCATAGAAGGGTGTTGAATCTACATATAACACTTGCCCCATCCACACCCAGACGATGTAGGATTGTGCACTTGTAGCTCGCCCAGTGTGGTAGCCTACTGGTGCCCCCTGCACACGCTCACACACACCCGCCCACAAGGTCGCCACAGATAATCTGTGTCTTCTTTCTCATTGAGATTGGCCATATTTTAATTTCATCCAACTTATTATCCTGTTTTATTCTATCCATTAAAGTCTTTTTCTTTTTTCTCAGTCCAAAAAGAAAAGACCTTAGGTTGCTTGTGTTGCTCTCCTAGCAGGTTGTGGTGAAATAGAGACTGACCAAATCCTACTGCAACCTCAGTGCCGGTTGTTGAACCGGAAGTTGATAAACTCCGAGTTTAAGGTTCAAGGGATGGTGGAACCACCGAACCATGGTTGAAAATTGCAACAGAAAATCAGAACCGTAAAAGTCCAAGAAAACGAATTTAGGGCAATTCGTAAATAATCCGGAAACTGTGTTATTGAAATAACATGTCATATAGTGATGGTAGCAGGAGTTGGAGAGGGGATGAATAACAAAAATTCAATGTAAAATTTCAATATTTACTGAAAAATGATAGATTTTTCTTTCGAAGTTGAAGGCTTCATTTGTTACTTGCTGAATTTCTGCTCTTCCACTTGATCTGAAAATGGAGCTGATTTTATTGCATTTTTCATTTTGTTGAGCTTATATAATCAGATCTCTTAGGAGCAGATGCCTTGGATTCAATCATCTCATATAAAATTAAATTACTGACTTTGAAATGTTCTAAGATTTGAATATTTATAAATAAGATAGTTGTAAACTTAGGACTCGGATGAATCTAACTTGAGATGTTAGATGATCTTTATTGAATTTAAGCAAAAAAAAAAAAAAAATCAAAAAAAAAAAAAAAAAGAAGAAGAAGAAGAAGAAGTTAGAAGTTAGATTAATAAATATAGAGAGTCAAAACCTGCCACTCCACCAAAATTCGTCAGAAGCACTAACTCGCTAAGCTACTGAGACATTTACATTTTAAGCTCAGTTAAACTCTAAAATTTTACGCTTTACAAAGAGAAGTTGTCATAAGGGATTTTTTTATTTATTTAATATATATATAATTAAATTGCCATAAGGGCATTATATTCACAATGCAAGAGTTCTTTAGATTGAAAGACACTACTTACGCATTCAATTTAATTAAATGCCTAAACCTTTTGTTATTAAATGCTCTTCTTTAATATTTTTTTATTATTATTATTTTTTTTTAAAAGTAGTTAGTTGGAACTTTGACCATGATGGTTTGCTCACAAGGACAATAAAGCACACAGAATTTTCATGCTTTCTATATCAAATAAAGGACAAAGGAACAAAAGAGGAATACAGAATAAGTTGCCACAAAAAGACCAAATGGTCTCAAACTAAAAATAGACGAACTCTAAAAATGCTACAGTATATAATTTACACAACCAGTCTTTTAGACCCTATTATTATTACTCATCACCTCCTAGACCGTTTCTTAGCCCGTTTCGAAACCACCTCCGCCTCCACAACCTCTCTCCCCCGCCTCCCCGCAGCCGCCTCCCTCCCATTCTTCGGCGGCCTCCCGACGCTTCTCTTTGACGGGCTGTCTTCCTTCACCTTTTTATCACCTCCTCCTCCACCACCACCACCACCACCACCACCACGTGACAATGCCGCGTCTTTCCTTCCGTCCCTTCTCCTCTTCTGCCCTCTACCGCCACCATCATTAGTGCCATTTTCAGAACTTTTTACCTTTTCCGTTACCGCTCCCTTCGCCGGAGAAATCTTCTTTATTCTGTTCAAAAACTTCTTGGCCGAGGCCGTCACCTCACTTCTCTTCTTCTCCGATTTTGGAGCCTCTTTTTTGTCAACTGAAACATTGTTTGAGCTAGAGTTTGTGATCTGATTGTTATTAGGCCTATTGTTCCCTTTTCTCAAGCTTCTGGTACCCGTCACCGGCTTCTCTTTTGTCTTCATTTTCATTCGAATGGCTTCTTCACTTACATTCGAAGAAGATTTAGCTGCTGGCGGCTTCATATTGAGAGCGGGTTTTTGTTTCTCGTTGACTTGTTCCTCTGTTTTGTTGCTGACTGAAGAAGCTTTAGCTGAAACTGAGCTTCTTTTACGGCAGACTATAATAGGAGCAGAAGACTTATGCTTCGCTAGCAATGAATCGGGTTTCTCCGGGTCGGGCTTGGATTGGAGTGAAGATTGATTTGATGACGGAGCCAACTCCGGCAATGGTTCCGATCTCTGAGTTCTCTCCTTCTTCATTTCTTTCAAAACGAGGTCGCGGAGTTGGTGGGCCGCCACTGATTCCGAGGATGCTTTGGGGAAGAAGACAATGGCGTTGTTGAAAATAAGCAGCAAATCGCGGTAGAATTTGCTGGTGCAAGAGGAATAGGACCCGTCTTCCAGCTTGGCTTCTACTGTTTTGAGATCTACATGTTGTCGAACTATCTTCTTGTACTTCTCTGTTTTCTGCACATAATTAAACGTTTATTAGTTCTTATATTCATTTTTTAACGCATTACATTTGTTTTCAATATATTATACACGGTATCTAACTAAAATAGATAGATGTAATAATATTGAAAATCACTAAAATACTGGAGAAGCTTCCAGGGATGGAGTCCGCTAGAGACAATTGACTTTCAACTACCGTTGCATTTAAATAAAATTGCATGAGAGTGATTAAAGTATAAAAAAAAAAGCTACTTTATGGTTGGTTGTTCTTTAGCTATTTTTTCTTTTCTTTTTTTTTTTTTTTTTTTTTTTTTTTTGGGTTAAATGAAAAATAAGGATAACAACTTTAACTTTTGGTTGATTGGTGAGGGAGCATCTATCTCACCCATACCCGTTGTAATTTTGTCTTTTAAGATTTCTAAATGAATATGACGTCATTGCTTTTTTACAAAATTCTTATTCGCTTTAAAATAATGTTACACGTCTATCAATGGTACGATGCTAAAACCGAAGCCTAAAAAAAGAAGCAAAAAGTAAAAACACCAGGAATGATGAGGCTTCCACGACTTGGTGTTGACGTAGTACTGCTTCCTTATGGTTGCCTACCAAGTGGGATCGATTAAAATTAACTTGGAGTATTGTATAAACTTATAAAGGTATTGAAATGGGTTAATATCAATGTAATAACGTTTTAATTAATGTAATGACGTTTTAATTCGACATGATATATCTATGAACGAAAAAAAAAAAATTAATTAAGCGTATAGAGTCCACTATTGTTGTTGTGATGGTCACACTTTAACTAAGAATTTTACCATGAAATTAACGCAATCACTCTGGTAGAAAGGAAAAAACTTCACTTCCTTTAATAAAAAAATTATATTCCATCGTTAAGGGGAGAAAAAAATAATAAGTTGGGCTCTGATACTACCAATACATCTAATGGTGGGCTGATCAAGGCCCAATAAGCAGGTCATGCTTGAGTGCTTCACAGGGTATACGCTTGACTTTGCACCCAAGCCGTGCGTTTTGGGTTACGTGATGGATTCTTTAACCATGTTTCAACTGGACCCACCCCAGCGACTATTCAAGTTCCAAAATCATAGGACTGTTTGCTATTTCAGTCTATTATCATAAAAAAAAATTCTTTAAATGTATTTTAAGAGAAATGACATTAATGTTACTAACGTTATAAAAAAAAAATTACCTCCTAACTTTCAAAATTAAAAAGAAAACATTTATGATATTAAGAACATTATTGTAATTTTCTTTTCTTTTAAACAGACAAAGTAAATTATTAAATTTGCTTAAACACAAATGACATGTCACATTTTTTTATACTTTCAAATCGAGCAGTGTTTTAATATTAAACTTCAGAATTCAATCTTTATATAAGATGAGAGTCTTATTACATGAAATTATATGATATGACCCGTCATCCCACTCACATGATTCTTTTAAATTTTGAGTTTTGAGTGCTCCTATAAAGATATTTCTATCATTGAATTTCCATTCTACATGAGTATCTAGACATATTTAGAATTAAAAACACCACAAATTATTCATGAATTTAGTAGGGATAAAAAAGGTTATTAGTTATAGCATCTCCTACTATCTTAAAAACGAATGGAGTTGAGAAAACTATTATCATACATTTAAAAAAACAACATTCAAAGACAATGAGTTATGTATTTTATTTTAAGTTTTAAATTATAATAATCAAAACTAAATTCATAAAATTTATTTTTGGTATTATATACATACTTTTTTTATTTTATTTTTTGGATTATATACTTATAAAATTTTAATACTGGCCCGAACCCGAAAGATTCTATTGTTGCCCCATTCAATAATTTGATTTTTTATTTTTTATTTTTATCTTGATGTTGTTAAACCCCGCGCCCTCTCCCATAATTTTATGAATTCGTCCCTACATTCTCTATATACATAATTTATTAGTCATCTAAAACTTAATATCATCAAATTAATTAAGAGTATATTATCAAAAAATTATATGTATTACGAAAACATATTTAGTTAGTTGTAATTGAATTTATATTTAACACTTTAAAATTGTAGAGGGTAATACATTATACAAAAAATAATAATTCAAATATGTCAAATGTGGGTTACATGGGAGTAAGAGTCCCACCACATGATGTCAAGATCAGACGGTTTACATATAACTCATTCAGCACCTTCTAATGTTGTATTATTGTTTTTGTACGTAACATTATATAAATAATTTTAAAATATATGGTCACTAATGAAAATGTAATAGAAAATTATATAAGAATACTATTTATTTAAAAAATTTAGGACATAAGCATCAAGGACTAGGGATGCATGGAAAAATTAATTGAAGATATAAAAAATAAAATGGTATAATGTTATTAAAAATGATTTTTAAAGTTATATATATTAAATGAAATAAAATATAATTAAAAAAATATACAATGATCATAAAAATATAATTTAAAAACAAAAAAATAATATCAAAAGTTTTACTTTTCATTTTATAGACAATCAAATTTTATTAATAAATAAAAAATATAATAATTTTGTTTATTAAGATAATTGGGTGCTCTTATAAAATGAAAATTAATATTATTTTTATAATTTTATCTAAAATATATTTAAGAGTTAGATCATTATTAAACTTTACAAATTTTTTTTTTTTTTTCACATGCAAGTTCTTTGAACCATTAATAACTATACAAAATATAACATTTCGTCAACTTTGTATATGAATTATGATTTTATGAACGTGATCTTTAAGGTGGCTCCCAATCATTAGATCGTCAAAGATGAATCATAAAAACGAACGGTAGATATTAAACGATCATGCGTTGCACGTTATGATTTGAAGGGTATGGTTAGTATATGAGCATACCTGACTCTCGAGCCGGCGCTTGAATACCGAACCGTGTTTATGCAATCGGATAATATCTAAAAAATCAATTAACGGCTCTGATTTCACCGAGCCCCGTTTGGTGGTGGTGGTGGTGGTGGTGGTGGCGGGACGCTCGCCGCCGTCGCTGGCACCGCCGGAACTTTCCATTTTCCGGCGTTTCTTCCTAATTAAACTCGCCGAGCTCTGTCCGTCGCTGCTCTCTTTCATTCCTTCTTTCGACTCAGCCGCCAAGTCCTGTAAGTCGGCCGATTCGCCGATCTTCTTCGCCTTACTCGGTTTCAACGAAGCGTTTTTCGTTATTGTATCTGAGCTATCGTCGTACGAGTCTTCACCACCTGGTTTCGACTCGCTCAGAACCGGATCCGGTTTACCGCTGCCTGTTTCGACCGGTTCGTCCGGTTCTCTTTCTTCGTCCTTCGCTCCGGTTTCCCGGTTCGAATTCGACTCGCCGAACGACCGGTTCTGTCGGTCAGAGTCCTCGGTGGAAACTGATTTCCCGGCGACCGGAGCTCCGTCGCCGTCTTTTTTGCCGTTCTCCGATCTATCTCCCTTCAAATCCTTGTCTAGATCTGATTTTTCATCTCTGTTTTCGGTTTCTTTCAAGCTCAGTTCACGCTCATCCTCTAATTTCTTCACCTTCAGTTGCAGAGACCTGTTGAAGAAACAGATCAGGAACTCTCAGATCCACACATGAATTATACATCATTCTCTACGTATAATATACATATTTATATACACTATAAAAGTTTAAATTTCAACAAATATAAACAGGAGATTACTGGATCGAACGATCGTATCGATGGACCTCTTGTTTGAGCTCTGCGACTCGGTGTTTTCGCAACTCCTCCAGCCAAGGAATACTATCAACCTCGCCGGCGGTTTTGGTATCATCGTGTTCGTCGCCGCCGTCACCGTCGGTGTTGTCGACGAATCGGCGTTTGAGGTCGTCGAATTTGTTTCTACAGGTTTGTGCGGTCCGGAGCAGAGGAAGAGAGCTTCGGCTTTGGAGTTCCATGGCGACGGAGTCCCAGTCCTTGAATCCGTGACGCTTCACGGCGCATGCTAGCAACAGTTCCTCCAAAGTCGTCCATTTCACCTTCTCTTCTGTTGTCGTGTTTGCCATAATTTCAAGCTCCGTTAAATCCCTCCATTTGATTTCAAAAGCTAGGGTTTTTTTCGTTCTCTCCTTCGTCTCTCGCTACAGAATCTTTTCTTCTTTAAATTTATTTTTTATTTTTGAATGCCAAACTCAGATAGTTTTCACCCTCTTTCCTCCTTCTCTCTATATATATACTTGTATATGTGTACACACATATATGGCCGTACTCAACTAATTCTCAATTCTTTTAAAATTGTGTTATATTTCATCAATAATAGTATATATATATATATATATATATATATTTAACCTCGACGGTACAATCTGATGGGCAAAGAAGGAAATTTACCTAATAATTGCTAAATGTGGCAGGAAAGGAAGTAATCGTAAATTATGGGGTGTACTAAAAGGTTCAACACAGGTTAAATCATGGGGGTACTATACTTCTTTTGTCCAGTGCTAAAGGATGAGGCCTTAAGAGTACCTCCATCCTGTACTTCTAGGTTCAAATTCACTTCCTCCTAATCCTCATTGACTCCTACCTTAGGCCGGAACACTATTATTGTCCGAATAGTTTGATGGCAACAAAGAATATTCTTATGTTAATTGCTCGGTGAATGTAACCGAGACAAGTAGAATAGTTTGATGGCAATGAAGGGAATTTTTTTGTTAATTGCCTAGTGAATGTGACCGGGACAGGAGGACTACATGGACTTGATGTTGAATTATATGGTGTTCTAAAAGGTCCGACACTATCACTGTTGGAATAGTTTGATAGCAAAGAAAAGATTTTTTCTAATAATTGTCCAGTAAATATGATCATGCGAGAAGATTTCATGTGCTCATGATGTATTATATATATCTTAGTTTGCTTTGTAATTGATCAGACTCATAAAATGATCAAAATTGTAGATGAATTTTTTTCCCTAATTTTTTTATAGATGAATTTTAAGTGTTAAATCTTAATTAATTCTTTTAATGGGTTAAAAATTATTGAAAATCAACCATGCTAATTTGAGCACTATGATTTTTTTTTTTTTTTTTACTTGTTTGTGACGCACTTTAGTAGGTTTTACACTTTACTGTTCTAATTCTCAATTCTTATAGAGTTATTGTCAATTTGTCACTATTAATAAAAATGTCAAATTATGTTTTGTCCTGTAACATAATCATTTCATTACCAAAACAAGAAATTGTATTTTATAGATAAGTTTCAGTTGTTATATTTAGTTAAATTTTTGTAACATTCAATAACTTGTTAAGAAAGTAGTAGGTATGCTCACATAGTCAAAATTTGTCAAGTTGCTATAATTTTCTATACAAGTAGACCATCCAATAATAATTATCAAATTATAAATTTTAAATTTTTTTAAAGGAATTGTTAAATTTGCAAACTTTGCACTATACTCGACTTTTTTAATACCTTATGAAACGTGAAATGTGACGGTGCTTTTTCTGAAAATTTGTTTCATTTTGATAGAAGAATGTGAAACTATAGTACTAATATTATTTCTTGAAAATTTAAATAAAACGAATTAATAATTAATAAACCAAAATCTAATGGGGCGAAGCTGAACCGCCAATATGAGGATTGAGGGCATGATCTCCAACACGCAACCAGTTTCAGGGATTAGACTTTAGACCTTTGCCTTCCGTGGTTGAATTACCATGTTGTCCTCGCAAATTATTGAAATATCAAGGGATGTATCCTCGTCGACTACTTTAGGTATTTCCAAAAGTACCCCTGTACATTGTCGTTTTCTTGCGGTTATTGCAAGCCAAGACTAAAGACGTAGAAAGCCCAAACCCGGTTCCGAAGGAACCCACGTAATGCATATGGCAATGGTCTGGGCTGTTTTGTCTTGGTCATATATTTTGAAATGGAGAGGTAACGATTGTTGGGACCTGCCCTATATTGGCCCATAGAAGATCATTTTGGATATGGGCACAAAAGGTGTAAAATGGCACCAACAAAGATAAAACTGATATATTTAGGGATGCACAGGATTCGATTCGGTATGGTTCTGACAAGAATTAGAATAGGAACGGTGTGTATATGAAACCAAATTGGCTCCAAGGTTCCCCACCTATGAACTTTTTTTTTTTGTTGTTCTCTTACACTGATACATTTAGGGATGCATAGGATTCGATTCGATACGGTTCTTAATTATTTGAAGGCTTTGCGCCCAATAGCCACATTTGCTAAAACAATTAAACATAATACATTCATACAATAGCAAAAATATAAATATAAATAAATACAGAAAATAAAACTTCAATAATATTACATCCCATCTCAGGTGTGTGGGTGTAGATCGGAGAAGCCGTGTAACCGTGTCGCTGATTGAGAAGTCTGAGATGCCTAGATGGTGTGTCGGTGATTGAGAAGCGATGTCGAGAGGACTGATGAGAGATGAGAGATGAGAGAAGTAGAGGACTGAGGACTTGAGGAGGGGAGGCGAGGGTGAGGCAGCTTCATAGTTCTATCAGATGAGAGTTGAGATGAGGAGGGGAAGGGAGGCCAGGGTTAGGTTTAGATTTAGGTTTAGTCTGTTTAAATGAGAGAGAGTTGAGTTTTTGTGGTTTAGTGGTGGACCACGTGTTGGTATGACTGACAATTTCTCAGTTAGTAAGTATGTTATTAATAATATATATAATTAAATATATAATCACACACACACACACATATATATATACGGTTTCCACGGGTTTGGAATCGGAACCGTAAACCCATGGTTCCTATTTTCAGAACCGGGACCGAGATCGGAATCGTGAGAATCGAAACCGAAGCTATAGTTCGGTTTTACGATTTTTTTGTACACCCCTAAATACATCCTCTCAATTTCGAGGATGTGAAATGGAGGTGACCTACAAATATAAGACACTATTTATCATTGTAAAACACAAATACACTATGCAAATTATACAGTAGCCATTGTAAAACGTACTTTAAAATGTGGAACATTGCAGTGTCTTGTATTTGAAATTAAAAGAAATAAATTTATTTTAAAGTCTCGTGATTTTCTCTTCTTTAAAATGTGGAACATTGTGGTGTCATGTATTTGAAATTGAAAGAAATAAATTTATTTTAAAGTCTCGTGATTTTCTCTTTTGGCTTCTAGATTTTGAAGGCGTTTCAACATAATCTAGCCAAATAATTAACATTAGTACTTTTTGTTTCCAAACAAAACTTACAACAGTACAACATAAATAAGACAAAGAATAGGCAACTACAAAACAAGACAATCCTACTCCTTCCACTTTTTATGAGGCAAACACGTCGTTACCGACTCTTTAACTAGATTGTCCAATGCTATTGTCAATAAATAGCATCTTCTTGTACGCCTTTTGAATTGGTTCATCGCTGCATGGTATTATCATTGTAATAAAGTTTTTCTTTTACCTAACTGAGTCTTTGGATGCCGGAGAGTTGAAAGACTTTCCGGCACCGGTAGTACCATTCACATCCTTTACCTTCTCGGCAACCCGTTGGTAATCTTTTTTCTGTTTCCCGGCATCCGGAGAATGTTTTCCGGTATCAATTACTGACCGGAGCTCATTTAATTCTTTTCTAAGCAAACCACTCTCCACCTGTAAAACATCAAGCTCTCGTTTCACTGTCAAACACGACTCTGCCACCTCGGCATTTTTACTTAATTTAAGTTTCTGCGCTTGCTTTATATCAACAGCCACGTGTTCGATTCCTATTTTGCCCAGCGTGAGGTACGGAATCTTACGAAGCCAATTCTCAGCCGTCCGATCACCGGCCTGGTCGGCCGAGAATCTGACGCTCCACCGTAGCTTCAACACCGCGCGGTCTCTCAACGGCAGAGCCGTCTTTGCATAGACTTCCACGCCGGAACACAGCCTCTCCACAACGCTCTCCGCCGGAAAACCTCCGATCATATTGCCGGTCAACACGCGGTTCACCGTCCCGCTAGCCCCTTTTTTCACAGGCGTTTCGTTGTTTTCAAAGAACTCCTCGTTATCGGAATCGCCGTCGTTCGCATGAGGCCTGAACCTCGGCGTCGAAACCGAGGATTGCGCGGGCAAAGGAGCAGTCCGTGAATCGACGGATCGCTTGATGGAGAAATCCCCGATCTGAGGCCGGAATCGGAGGAAGAAGCTAGGGTTTCCGTTTGCGAGGAAGTTGAACTCGGCGTTCATGGTCATCGGAGCTCCGATCGGCGAGCCGAAATGTCCGATTCCGGTCCTGACACTGAAACCGAAAGGTCTCCATGAATCGTTGGGACGATAAGAGAGCTTTAACAAAGGGCCAGACTCGAAGAAAGTAGTGAAATTGAAGCAAAGCTCTTTAGTGTCGCCAGCTTCGATTCCGGATTGAAATGGAAACCCTAAAATATTCAGAGGTACCTTAGCTCTCAAAATTGGCTTCTGATCTCCGCGAAACTTTACAGAAGCTTTCATTTTAGAACCCTAAACTTTACAAAATTGGTTTATCGTTTATGGATGTTCGAAGAAATCGTCGCTAAATTAGCTTAGGTATATATATATATATATCTCAATTTAGTAGCTGGAATATAGCTCTCAGTGATTTTTATTGGTAGCTACCATGGAAGGTAAACACACGAGACTATACGTGAAAATAGAACTATAAAACTAGTGAGAAGCACAAAATATATGGAAAATATGACAATGACATAAATAAAGTATAAATTTGGTTTACCCACCAATAAAGTTATGTCCGTGGTGAGAACTGAGAACTACCTTGGGAACCAGGCTAATGTCTACTGCTAAACTACTTTCCTGAATCCTTGTTGGATAAGGAAATAATAAAATTTCTCCCCAAGATAATTTCAGTAGTAATAGAAATCAGGGTTGAAATTAGAAAAATATATTTTTATATAGGGAGACCCATGATTTTTATTTATTTATTTTTGGATCAGTTTAGCAAATTAACCACAAGATAATTTCAATAGTAATAGAAATCAGAGTTGAAATTAGAAAAAAATACTTTTATATAGGGAGACTCATAATTTTTATTTATTTATTTTTGGATCAGTTTAGCAAATTGACCACCTAAGACTTGGGAAACTTCCATATAAACTACTTAAGATACCAAAATATTTAAAAATTCTTTCTTTAAAAAACCTTCATCACCCCTTTAATTCATAGGTTTGAGACGCAAACAAACCCTTACCCTTTCTATCTCCCTCTTTATAAATATAGAGAGAACCTTAACACAGTCACACCACCTTCTCTCTCTAAATGTACACCCCTCTCCCTAAATAAACTTGAAACTCTTAATAGAGAAGAAGAAGTTCTTGAGCGATATGAGTCTTGGAGATGTGGTTGATAGTAAGCCGAGGAAGAGTTGTAGTGATTGGGATTACTTGTTAGAAATCACAAAAGCTGCAAGTCAGAAATATAACAAGAAAAAGCAGCTATGATACTTCAACAATCTTGTTTTTCTACGCAACATTAACAAAGATTGTTGAAAAAAAAAAAGCTCTCAAGAAGCCTATTATTGATAATCCTTATGTCCATCCCGATCACATTATTGACATTGATCCAAGATTAGCAACAAATCAAAAGTCGAAGACCATTAAAAAGGATAAATACTAATCAGAAGATGGAGGAGAAGAAGGAAAAGAAGAAGAAGAAATGGCATAGCCCGGGACGACCACCGAACATGCCATTGGAAATGAAGAATTTCATCACTAATGAGTTGCATGGTACTGAGATACTTCTGGTCATACAGAAGGCCTTGTTTAAAACCGATTGTAGTGACACTCACAATCGTTTGTCGATACCGATCAATAATATCAGGAAGGAGTTTATGAGAGAAGATGAGGTAGCCTTCTGAAGATGCAAGAAAACTCTCTCTCTCTTTATTTTGGCAGAGTATCTTTACACTTCCAGAATTCTCCCATTTTCCTTTCTATTATCTCTATATTTATAGAACGTTATAGGTGTTCTAATAGCTTCCTAATTTTCCCCTCTTGCTGGACTCTACAATTGGGCTTCCCTTTGCTATGGGTCTAGTTTTTATCGTTATTAAGTTGGGCCTCACAATTGTTTTCTCCCTGTAATTGGGCCTAGTGATGAAAACTTCGTTCGGCCCAACTCCATTTGTTTGACCCGCTTCTAACCCGTTTAAGACGATCTGGACCGTGTCCGACCCACGCCGATTTTGGTATCTTCACCTGCCCCCATAATCTTTCCCTAATTAATTAGGGTGGGATTATCGATGGGTTACAATCATGATCTGACGACTCAAGATAGCGGCATATGGGAACAAGTGGACGGTTATGAAGTTAATATCTTGAAATTTGAAATCTTTTTGCCTTCCTGACGCCTCGGTTATCGGGCCCACCCTCTTTTTATAAATCGAGGAAAACATATCCACATTTCTCTCTATTGTCTCTACCATACATTCCTGTCAATCAACTCACTGTCCATTTCTTCCAAGCAAATCAAATCTTCTCCGGCAAACTCCCGTGCAAGATCCTCATTTTTTCAGCTATCCTGCAGCGTCTTTTGCCATCTCTAATCTTCTTGAGGTTAGTTTTGTTTCTTTTTTACCTTTCAAAAACTTTACACACTCCCTTAGGGATCTTGTTCATCTTCACCATGCCTATCGATTTAGATATTCTCCGTATGAAGCTTCATCTTCCCAGCAATGTTCTTATTAAGGAGTGCCTCAAGAACGTGAACATAAGGACTGGGGCCGGCTTTCTTCCAGGCAAAATCTTGTTTTTCCCTCTTGCATCTAAAGATTATTAGATTCCTTCTACATCCTTTTTTCAGTTATGTATTTAATAGGTTGGGACTATCCCCTCTTCAAGTAAACCCCAATATTCCTAGGGTTTTGTCCGTTCTGCTGCTCCTGAACCGTGACAAGGGTTTATATCTTGATATTATAGATCTTCTCCTCTGTTACAAAGTCAGCAAGATCAGGTTGAATGACATGTATTACTATTTTTATCCCATTGAAAAAAGATCCATCTGTACGGACAAACTCGATTCTGAAAAAGGGTGGAAAAAGAGCATAATTGGGGTTCGGGGGGCTTGGTTTGCTCCGGCTGCAAGGGATTATCCTATCCCGAGCACCTTGGGTGAATGCTCAGTTTCTTCATACATGAAGTACAAAAATCATAAGAGTGATTGTCCTTGTGAAGTTTGCGTTCCCCACTTCTGTACTTTTCTTTGCGATTCTTTGGGTATTCCTCATAATGAACTCGGTTACAGCATTTGTAGGGATCGGATCAACCACTTGAAGGAATATGTTCTGAACAACGTTCATTCTTGTTCGGAACTTCTGGTGTTTGAGAATTTCAGCAATATTTCACTCCTCGGCAGCACTATGAGCCAACTCCGGATCCCTTCTTTCAGCAGGAGGAAGGACCCTCCTAGGAACGTTACTGCTCCTGCCCTGGCTTTTTCTCCAGCCTCGGCATCCTCATCTGCCACTACATCTAGCACTACTTCAAACGTTGTGCATGCCAACAATCCGATCATCAATGCCCCGCTTGTTAACCCGAACGTTACTCCCCGAGCCAACAATCCTCCAAGTGCCACTGTGTCTGTACTGGACAAGGAGCAAGGGAAAAGACCCCAGCCTAACAGTGAACCCAACCTTGATGACGTTCCTTTATCTAGGAGGGTTCGAACTTCCTGGGCGAGCGAGCCCTAAGCTTCTCCAAATAGAACAGTCGCTCCTTCTGGGACTGGTGGAACTCTGCTTCTCCCTCTGGGCCAATTCCATGGACCCCTCGATTCATCCGATCAAACGGATCGGTTGTCAATTCAAATGAAATAATGTTCAAGGAGGGGTGGCGTACTACAAACATTTATGCTCCCTTAAGGACATTGAAGTGGCCAAGGCCTTGACTCATAAGGAGGTGTTCAACAGATTTCCTCTGGCCGCAATGGAGGTAATTTTCTACCCCACTCGGTTAATTTAAAAGCGCCTTCATATTTTAACTTCTCCGAATATACGTTCGGCCTAATTAGTATTCGTGCATCTGCTTGCAAACTCTGTTTGGCGTGATGATAATGCAAAAACATATTGAGTCAGCTAACGCCCGGGCACGCAGGTTTACCAGTGGGCTTGACACAGCAAACAAAGAAAACAAGGTCATCAGCACCCAGAACGCCGAACTGATGGTACAGCTGAATCAGGTTGAGAATGAAAGGGATGCTCTGAAAAAAGAAACAAATTCCCTTCAAGATTAAAGAAACGCTCTTCAGATTGAGAAGAGCGTAATAAAGACTGAGCGAGAAACACTGAAAGCTGAAAGAAAAAGTCTTCAACGTTCGTTGGATGACGAACGAACAGCGCGGCTGGCTCTTGAAAAGAGAACTTCAATTGAACGTGATTCCCTGTTCGGCATCATTGGTAGGGTGGACGGTAGAAGGAAGGCTCTCCATACTCGCTTCTATTAGATTGGAGCCCTCAGGTATGCAAAAGGGTACAGAGATGGCTACACCGACCGTTCTTCTCCCGAGGGTCAGTCCAACTCTTATGCAGGCCCTAATGATGTTGACAAGAAACTGAAGATAAGCCCCCTAGAGTCTATGCTGACACAGACCCCACTTTTGCCGAACACATCTCTAACAAGTTCTGGAGAAACATTGGCAAGGATCTGAGCCTGGCTCTTCAAAGATAGACCGTTGGCACAAAACACCAACCGGAATCACCCTTGCCAGTGTTTCTCCAGAACTCGACGCACTATATGCTAACCGATTGGCATCCTCATTACGCTCCCTCGGCAACTGGATGAACTTGATTTGATCAAAATTCCTAACTTCACGCATAACGGCAGAATGATATGCCTCTATTGTTTCATCGTTGGCTCCGTATTCCCCATTCACCTGCCGAACGATCAACTGCAAATTGCTAAAAGCAACTAAACTTTTGACCTTTAGTTCATTGACCAGTCTCAATCCAGCGAGCAATGCTTCATATTCTGCTTCATTATTGGTCTCTCTGAACTTAAATCTGATCGCTTGACTCAACGTGGTGCCTTCTGGCGTCTGCAACTTAATCCCAATTCCTGCCCCCATCTGATTCGAAGAACCATCAACAAAAAGCTTCCATGAAGATTCTCCAGGATTTTCTTCTAGGTCCGCCACATCACACTCCAATAGGAAATCAGCCACCGTTTGTCCTTTAATGGCTGTTCAGGGTTCATACGTTATGTCAAAAAAGCTCAACTCTGTTTCCTACTTCGTCATTCTCCTAGAAAAATCTGGCTTATGCAGAATCATCCTTATGGGAAAAGTGGTCAGAACGACTATAGGATGGGATTTGAAGTAGTGCCTGAGCTTCTTCTTTGCATTCACCAAAGACAAGATCACGCATTCGGCCTTTGAGTAACTTTTCTTCGGCTCGGACATTATTTTGCTGACATAAAACACTGTGAACTGCTTACCCTCTTCACATCGTATAAGAACGGTGTTTGTTACAATGTTGGAGACGCCAAGGTACATGAAAAGCTATTTACCTGGTTTTGGGGCAGTTAAGACTGGCGGGTTTCGCATATACTCTTTTAATCTGGTCAATGCTTGCCTTTGCTCATTCCCCCAAGATTGCTTTCCGTAAATCCTTATTGTATCGAAGAAT